CTCCCACGGGGCTCCAGACACCCCCCCCCCCCCCAGAATCATGGTGCCCATCGCTTGCCAGTGGTCACAGGTGGCTTTTGGCGAGAGCACCTGCCAGCAGAGCCGCCTCGCTGGGTTACGCCGAGACACAGGAGGAAAAACATGTCAGAGTCACGAGCGGCAGAGGTTTTGCCAAGGTGGAAGGAAAAAAAAAACCCCCCACATTTTATTTATGCTTTGCTTGTTCTTTACTTTCCTTCTATTTTTAGTCAGACTTTTTCATACTTGGTTTAGCTGCTTGCTCTTAACCAGTGTCAGGGAGTCTGCTAAAAGTTCCCCGTTTACACGCAGGGAAAAGCCAAAGCCAAGAACATCATTAACTCTGATTACAGCAAGCACTCCAGAGACTAATCCTCGTTAGAATAGGAATTAATACCAGCGGAACCCCGAAGAGCCAAAGAAGGCGAAAGGCTCTGCCCAAGCTGGGTCTGTCACTGCCAGTCCAAGCCTGAGCATGGCTCCTCTCTAAGAAACGGGTGATTTAGGAGGCAAGTGGGGCTCGCTGAAGCTGCTGACCCACAGGAAGAGCTGCAGGGCGATGGAGCAGGGGCCACCGGCACCACCCAACAGCACCGCCGGGGTGCCCGGGAAAGGCCTGGGCACCCGGGCTGGCTCCGGCTGAAGCGTGATAAAAGCTCTTACAGCATGGGAGCGTTTATAAGGAAACCAAGTTTATGCAACGTAAAACATCAGCGAGCTTCAGCCGACTGCAGTTGCTCGCTCAGTAACAAGAGTAGTAGTGCAGAACAAGATAAAGTGTTTTCTGCAGCTTCAGTTTTAACTCTTCCCCAGCTGGCGCTGCCAGCTCGTATAAAATCACTTTAAAACCACCAGTACTGTGGAGAGGGGGAGGAAAGGGCTGAAAAGCAAAGCCAGGGACGAAAGCTGCCCCAGAGCCTCAGCCCTCCTCTCCCCTGCCCAAACCTGCCGGATCTCTGCTCTGCGCTGGCAGCCAGACGCGGTGCCGAGCCCGTCCCTCCAGCGCCGGCGGCTCTCAGCACGTGAAGGCTTCGTGCGAGCAGCACGGCAGGGAGAAGAACGAGTGTTCACCTCCCGCAAAGCGCCAAGGCTCAGCCTTACGAGGGGATTACTCACCGCCGCGGCGGGGGCGACTCGTGCTCGCTCAGCCGGCGAGTTCATGGTGCCGCAGACGGTGCCCCGTGCCTCGCCGGGTCTGTCCCCGGGGGCTGCGGGCAGGACCAGGCAGGAGCTGGGGCAGGACTGGTTTTAATTTACTGCTCTAAGTGGCGAGGCGACTCCATCCCTCATACGGCACCTGTCATGCCGGATGAGTAAGGAACAGGCTCAAAACACTGCAGTGCTCAGCTATGGCTTAACTCCCCGCTGCCTGAGTCGTTACGAGATCAGAAAGTCCATCAACAGGTCGACTTTCCCTCTGCCGGTTATTTTGGCTTCGGCAGCATTATTAATCCAAGGGGCTAGGAGCGTCTTTGCACACACAAAAGGAACGGGGTTTGGACTTTGCTCCTTGGCAGTTATTTTCCTCTACCAAATTACCTATTCAGATCTGTCATTAACACCGTTTCACGGCAGCCTTTTCACAAAGGTGAGGAACAAGAAATGCGCTTTCAGAGGAGAGGAATCCATTACCAAATAATTAGCCTGACTTCACATCTCATCCACCCACACCGGAGGACCATAACCTTGCTAAGAAATTAAGAGAATTGAGAAAAAAGGGGCCTTGGCGGAGCAGACAGCAGGGACAGACACGGCCTCTGCCAGCGCCAGGGACACCGTGGGGGACACTGGGCTCCCCAGACGTCTTCTATGCCCAGGAGCGCAACACCAGCCTGTGCTGGCTGCCCGGTACCGACGGACAGCCAGGCCGGGCGCTCGGCTCCAACAGCTCTGCGTCAGCCTCCCCAGCCATCCACCAGCTCCGCTTGCACCGAAGCCGTTCACATGGCAGGGAGATTAAAGCGCGCGTCGACCGGCAGCCCCGCGACACGACACGGCACGGCACAGGGCGTCGTCGGCACTCGAGGGCTCAGGCAGGGACAAACTGGCAGCAGGCGGACATGGGGGAACACCACGCTCGAGTTACTGGCGGCTGGAAACGCAGACGGCACCAAAGGTATCACTTCCACCTCCCCAAACCGGGGAGAACTGCTTGAGGGAAGCAATGACACCGCTCGGTGCGGACCGGAGGGAGCTGGGACACGGTCAGCCCTGCAGAGAGCCCTGAGCCCTCACCAAGATATTTGAGTCCATCACCGAGCTGCCAGCACCAGGCTGGGTCTCCCTGCCAAGGTGGCAATGCCTCGGGACACACGTCCGGAGCCAGCGAACCCAGCCCAGTTCCAAGGCACACGCAGAGCGACCCCAGGAGCAGACATGTGGGTTTTGCAGCTCCCTGGAGTCAACATCTGAACAGAATCAGCGCTCCCAGCTTCACATGCTCGAAGCCTGACTCTCCGGCACCCTCGCGAGGGCCCTAAAAATATCCCTCCGCATGCCACAGCCTCCCGGCTGCCTCTGCGGCCGCCGGGCG